CATTCTGTAGAATTGGATTTCAGAAGGGGTGAAGCCTAGTTCTTCGAGTTCAGCCTGAATTTCGGGAAGTGCCATTTGGTTGTGAAGCCCTTTGACAATAGCTATCAACTTTTTGTCCTCAAGGAGGGTGTGAGTGTGGAACTCAATTTTTTCTCGAGCGAGAAGTTTGGTGATGGCTCTGTGGTCATTTGTAGTTTTGGGGGTGGATTTGGATGTCCAACGCTACTTTTTTGGGGTTTGTGAAGGTGCGATTGTTTTGCACAAGAAGATTTTTGGCCTTAGTCCATTCCACAGTATTTCTGATGACGATAGGAATCGCGGACTTGGGGGTTGGGGTGCCGAAGTGGTGGCAGGGCCTGAGGGCTGGGGTGCCGAAGTGGCGGCTAGAGCTGGGGTAGCCTGAGAGGTTTTAGCGGGTTGGGGGGCTTGCGCATCCTGGACCATGTGCTCGTCTAGTGCCGGGTTAAATGTTGCCAAGCGAAGCGACTGAAGGTCGCCGGCCTTGGTTTTGGCTTTAAAAGAAAGCAGGGTGCGGGGTTTTTGGGCGGGCGTCTTGCAGGCTTACCTTGATCCGTTTGTGATTGGTTCGAGTCTTCGCTTTCGGATCCTGAAGGGCTCCGCTCGCGAGAGCTCATTTTATGGTTGGAAGTTGCGCTGGAGTAAGGAGCTTCTGGTATTTCAAGCGGTGGCTATGTCCATCACAAAATACGCTCAGGAACACTATCCTGAACGGCACTGCACTGAGGGGCTTTCCGGAGCCCAGAAGGGGGACCTGCACGTGCCTCTTAGGGAGACACGAGCTGGAATTTCTTTCTTGGTAGTCTGGGGGAGGGCAAAACACACACTTAGTGAAGCTTCAACCTCGAGGTTGGACCGCGAGTGTGAAACACTTTGTAGCAAATAATTAAACAGTCAAACAGTGGAACGTTTGAAGAGCTGTTGTTCATCTGACGAGAGCTGATGAGCAACTGTGGAGTCTACTGATTAACTCTACTACTATTTGAACATATTTATTATCAGCTAAGTTTACAAGCTTCCTACTGCTACTTATCTACGGGTTCTTAAATCTAACATCGTTGGAGTGTCTAACACTCCATGTAACTTAAGATATGTCATCCTATATAACTTAATCTAAATTACCCTAACTAACCTAATCTAAACCTAAACCTAAACCTAACAGCGTCTCTTGCTTCCTATAACTAACTTAGAGTTAGCCCATGGTCCTCGATGTGGTGCAGCAACTGGTCATCGCATGTGGTCCACGTCTTCTTCTTGAACTGTGTCTTTTTGCAAGTAACCCGGACTGTGGGATTCTTGCTTTGCCGGGCGTTATCCAGGAACTTTGATGTTAAGTTCCGGATATGGTCCAGCAGGTCATCTGTTTTGAGGTCTCTTTGCAGGGTGGAATTTCTGACAAAGTATGGGACCTTGGCTGCTATCCGCAGTTTCCGATTCTGGCTTACTGCCAGTTTGTGTTTCTGGCAGGTGCTGGCCGTGGACCATGCAGGAGATCCGTAGGTCAGCACCGGGCGGATTAGTTGTTTTTAAGCTCTAACCTTTGTTCGCAGGAAGAGCTTATCTGTCAGCAGAGGATAGTAGGCCAATACTAACATTTAATTTAAATTTAATTAATACTGTTTTCATAATCAATGGTCAATGAAAAATGTTTGAACAAATTTTATTAGCGGCGATATTCTAATTAATTAAATGCCAGTGGTATTTCTTATCCATTCTCTGAAATAATTTACACTCGCATAAACTCCTGGAAATCCTGCCCTAGCACAACCATAACCCCATGATACCACTCCTATTAACGAGTTATTGGTAATTAAAGGACCGCCTGAATCTCCCGCACACGCATCCTTTTCACCTTCTTCGTGGCCGGCACATATCATTCTATCAGTAACCCAACTACCTAAAAACAAATTGCATATTATATTGCTAGAGATATAGTTTTAAATGAGTATTTGTTTATCGGGTACTGCTTTACTTACTGAAACCAACTGTGTTATACAAAGTCAGACAATCTTCATTGCTTACAAGTGGCACAGCAACTTCTTGCAAAATTTCAGCTAAAAACAACCCATATTCATGTTGTAAGCCCCAACCTATTACAGTGACCACAGTGGCCGCGGGATAGTTCTGAAATAAGCTGTGTCATAAAAACCATAAATTTAATGAACAGCCAACTTAGTGCTAACCTCATCAATTTCCAGCATTCTAATAGGCTGAACGGTCGTAGATAATGTGAGGTCTTTTTCCAAATACAATAGGCTGATGTCATAGTCGAATCCTACAGGAAAACTGTTCAAAAATAAAGGATGATCATAAAGTTTTAAAACGGATACTTCTTGCCCGCCTGTTTCCAGAAGACCTGTTCCGACTCGAATTGTAAAGCCTCGTATTGCGTTATTGGAATATCTCAGATCTCTAAAAATTAAAAAATTTTAACAGGGTTTTTAATTTTTTTATTAGAGCGTTTACTAAAACGCTTTGGCGATATAGACGCTGAGTTTTTTTGATGCCTAGTACAGGCTTTGCGGAAACTACAGCACATACCAAAAAGGTTAAGGCCAGTCAGTTACAATTTGTAGAACAAGGGAATATAATTCGTGTCAACTGTCCACGTCAATACCAAGCTATATTTCTAACTTTAGCGATTAACACTTCGTATTTTTTTTTCAATAAAACTTTTTGTAACTCCTCCACTTATAACTTACCTTAGAGTCACACTCAATCGGTCTTCGGGTGAAATCGTATCACGGAAATTCGACATTTTTGCAAATTTGTTTTTTCATGGCAACTAAAATATATTTAAACGTATCCTGATTCATGCGATAGTAATCAAAAAATGTTTTTTTATTCGTTTTTAGAACTTCATATAAGTGATGGAATTCTCCAAATTCTTTTCGTGTTACTAATTTGTCAGAAATGACCGGGACGCAAAAGCGACACCTGTCGGATGGCAGCACACCCAACAAGCCAGCACCTGGGCGGCTGTATGTGGGAACTTCCGTATAGGAAGGAACCACACATAAGTCGTGCAAGGTGCAAGCAACTCGAACCATCCAACAGACTTTGAGATCGGTCAAGGACAAACGGGATCCTTTATCAGCAGCAGGAGTATACAGAGTTCCGTGCAGCTGTGGAAGAGCACACATCGGCACCACAAAACGAAGCATAAACACTAGGATAACGGAGCACAAACAAAGTTGCAGATTGGGACAAACGGAAAAATCAGCAGTAGCGGAGCACGCACTGCTAGACGGCCAC